TTTGGATGTGAAGACAGTTTGATCTGAGTCAGTTAGATATGATAGTTTTAATGAATTCACTACACCGCTGTTGTTCGTTGGGATTAAACTGACTATGAATAGACGGATTATACAGATTATTAGCTGACCAGCTGTGTGTGTGTGTGTGTGTGTGTGTGTGTGTGTGTGTGTGTGTGTGTGTGTGTGTGTGTGAGACACACACACACACACACATCTATAAAGCAAGCTTGGGAGATCCAGAGGAGTCAACTGTGACCATTTTTAGCCACTTTACAAAGCAGCACTACTGCTAATGTTCTGCACAGACACACTGTGTCAGTCCCTTCATTTCTGCAGCCCAGTCCCACACCACAAAATGTAATGTCTCTGTTAGTCCACAATGCAAAACAGTTTATTTTCAACTTAAAGACCTGCAAACTGTGAGATGCATACCTTTTGGGTTTTTTTGTTGTTGTTTTTGGTTTAGCTTGTTGTAAGGACAAAACTCATCTGACATCCTATCAAAATGCAAAGTGCAGCAGAGTTAATGTTGTGAATGAGCGTCATCTTCTCCTAACCCAGACTAATTAGTTTTTTGGTGCTTTTTAAATGGAGGTTCATTTCCCCACTTGGTACGGTTCATTTGTGCAGATGCAAACAAAGTAATCAAATTTGGACGCAGACCAAAACAATTGCAGCGAGAACATTTGGAGACAGTGGTGTCAGTCCAGGTCCAAACAAACTCCAGGCACTGAACCCAGTGGCACGCTGCAAGTTTATGCAAACACCTTCTCATAGCCAGTATGTATCTCAGATGTGATAGAGTACCAAGAACATGCGGAATGTAGTAACCAGCCCTAAAATGAACCAAGGGCTCACTAGTCCAAAATTGTCCAGAACACAGCACCTTTTCATGCATTTATTTTTGTTGCTTTTTCTGAGACACATTTGGCCAGTAAATGGACACACCTGGTTTGTAGTGACTCATTTTGTTTTGGAGTTTTCTCTGTGAAAAGAAACTTAATCACAGGAAAAAGCTACAAGTACTCATGTCCTGATTCTAAAAAATTTACAGAGAATTTGGGTTGTCAGATAGTCAAACAAAACGGCAACTAAAATGTAATCTTAAAGTCATGCAAAAATAAATATAATTCTACCACACACGTGCTCTACAAATGTGTAGCATTTGAGTGAAAGTGGGATTTTTACACACATAGAATAGTTTGTATTTGTATATGTGTTGAGTGAGTATTTGCTTTGCTTGTTTTCTTTGATATGGGTAAAGATTTTTATCGATTGCTGTATTGATTTTTATTTTTTTTTTAATTACCCAGGCTAACATTAGCTAGTAAAATATTACGTTTATGCCAAGCTTGTGCTTTGTAAGGTCCTTATCGCTGAAAGTATCAAGCACACAAATGCACATGTAGCTTCTTTTTCTTCTTTTTTTTAATCCTTTATTAAAGAAATTCAACTACAGCTCAAAAAGCATGATTGCATCAACAATCTGCTGAATGATGAAGCCTTTTTTTTCCTCCTGGGAAATCACACCTCGGTTTATCTTATGAAGAATTCAATTAAAAACTGCCCTCAGCAGGGGCGGAGCGTGGGGGTGGCTTACTGGGCTTAAGCCCGGGTTGTTTTGTCAGAGCCAGCCATACTAAGGAGAGCTTAAGTTTGACCAGGTACCAAAGCAAATCATTCGTACCGTACAAATAATGTAAATATGACGGTGAATCACGAAAGATTGATATCAAACTGATCACTTGACCAATATTACGTTACTTGCTCTTCAAGTGAATCAACAAATGGCGAAATGAAAAGCCGAAGAAATGCTATTTTTTTTAGAGAGTCTTAGCTTACGTGTGTTTATTTCATATTTTCAGTTCTTACCCTCCCCGACTAAATCGGTTTCAGTAATGCACTGAAATATAAGACTGGACATTAGAGGGCTCTTTCAAAGAAAAAACTCAGGTAAATGTTATTTTATATATTATGCTTTGTATGTTGTTCAGTATATTTCTATGCAAAACAAGAGGGATTTCAGTACACAGCAGGATATTCACATTTGTAACCAGATATTTACATACACTTTAGGGAGAAAACATAAAACATTTTTACTGTACAACATTAATTTAGAGTAAACTTTTGTTTTAGATAAATATTGAAATGTCTTTTGAATTAGTTAAATGTCAGAATAAAGAGAGACAGAGCTGTCTATTTGTTATCACTTTCATCAAATTTAGGAGTACATGTACACTAAGTTTATTGTTAATTAATAAGAAAGCTGCAGACGATTCCATTCTGAGCTGAAGAAGCTTCTGATAGGTTAGTAGAGTCCATGTGAGTAAATTGGTGGCACAGCTGTGGATGCATAAAAGGCAAAACACAGAGCCTGTTTCTGTGACATGGGAACATCAAGAGATGTCAACCAAAACACCAGGAAAAGAATTGTGGAGCTCCATAAGTGTGGCTCAATTTTGAATACAATTTGGTGTCATTTACAATTAAAAAACACAGACAGTTTCTCTCTTTACTCTTAAAGTTAACAAATATGTTTTTTATATTTATCAATCTAAAAAAATAAACATTTAGTCTGATTTGATGTTACAATTAAAAAAGTGTTTGTGTTTTTATCTGAAGAGTATGTAAATATCTGGTTTCAACTGTATATTTGATGATTGTCAGCACAAAGAGGAAGAGAGAGGAAGAGAGAGGAGAATGAGGACAGATGGAACAAGAGCAGGTGAGACAGACATGTTAGTCAAATGGTTGTTTACCAAAAGTATCACCGTATCATAGGTCCTCATGTATCTCGTACCTAGTGTTTCTTTTTAGGTTTACTATTTTTCAAATTCTATATTTATTAAGTTTTGCAGCTTGTTTGCACAACAAGGCTAAATAATTATATAAACTTTTCTCAATCTAAATAGTGGACTTTGGTAGAATTAAAAAATAAGTGTAGTGGAGGTCTATGATGATTTTTAGTGCTACTATCATCTAGTTCTGATTCTGGTTCTGTCTTGGTTAAATCCTAAGTAGTCCTGATTTTGAACTGTTGTAGTCCTGTTTTAATTCCGGATCAGTTTTGGGTCTGGTTGAATTGGGGTTTAGTCCTCATGTCTTGATACAGCCCCGATTTTGTTCTGCCTTGCTGCTTAATTAAAAAACTAGTTTAAGGTGTCCTGCACATGTGATATATATTTTTCCCTATATGAAGTCATTCTTTTTTGAACAAAACTCAAAACAGAGCCTATTAATCTTTCAGTCATTTCTAAACCCCCCCCCCCAAAAAAAAAAAAAAATCCCACATACATACTACCCTTTAGGTTCTAAGCCCTGGGTGTTTCAAATGTCTGGCTCCACCTCTGGCCCTCAGCCTTCTGTTCCAAACCAGCGGTGTCAGCTGCTCATAAACTGTGTGAAATCTGAGTTTATCTCTCTGAATTTACTCTGTAATTCATTTGATTTGTTTAATAGTCTGGTTTTAATAAATTCCTCAGCTGCTTGCAGTCATTTTGTGGCACTGTTTCTGAATGTAGATGAATGTGTGACCATGTCTTAGTCCTTCTGAAAGCTGTGCAGTGTGATCTTAACCGAATAACAGTGTAACAAGTAATTTGCAGTAACTTTTTATTGTGATTTTTTTTTTCTTTTTATATGCTGACAGGTCAATTCTTCCCTCTGATGGAGGAAAAAAAAAGTTGTGATTATGTCTGTGTAAACCACATTAGAGCACTCAAATCTGTGATAAAGAGAAAATTAGCTTCATACTTATTGATTTCTGACTCAGAAACTTGATTATTACTATAACTCATTGTTCTACATCAGACTTTCAGCTTCACCTTCTTTATCCTTCATAGAGCAATGACATGAAATTTACACCCCAGGGGCCAAATCAACCCAGTAATAGGTTGCCATCTGGCCCGCAAACAGTTTTCTGTTTTACTAAATGAAACTGACTGAAGAGGATCAAAGCTTTGTTTAATGTTGTGTTAACTCTTTTCAATGTAACCACAGTATTTTTACCTGTAGCTTTAGAATAGATAGAAATAGATTATTAGGTGTGGGTGACATAGCCTCCAAATTATATCACTATATTTCAAGGAAATTCTGATAATATTTCTGACAGTAATGGGAGAAAACATTATTGGAAGCACTTTTTGGTGCTTCCAGCTTACAGGCAGTGGTATTTAGTGGTATTTATTAGTGTGAATAAAAATAAAGGACAGTTTCCATCCTTCTTTTCCAGTGAGTTAATGCCATGTTGACAGAATACCTGATTCAAAGGGAGAATCTGTTGCTACAAGGCACCAGCAGCAGCAGTACAGTGCAATAGCAGTGACACATTAAATTAAGAACAAAATTAGCCTTCGTACTATTTTCTTTGTAAACTTTAAATCAAATTTGCATAACTGCTAAATACTTTAACAGAAAAGTAACTTAATCATGTAACTCCTGAGGAGTCGGCACAATAGTGTGAAAGTTGAAAAATATGTTGTACCTGGAGTGTTTGATCTTGAGTTGAGCTTGTTAAAAGCTGCTTAAAGCCCACACATGACCAGCTAGCATATAGCTAGCATGTCCGCCTTCATAGACTAGATGTTTTTGATGGTGTGTTTTTTGCCTCAAGTGATGAAACAAGTTTGTTGTTTCCACCTTTAGCAGGAACAGTTTTGTTGCATATTTTGTAAAACGTTGAGCTTTCTTGGAGGTTGTTGTAGTAACTCCCTGCTCCTTTTTTACTAAATTGTCATCAGAGAGTCACACTTAGCTCTCCTTGTTAGTAATGCCTGGTTTATTTTTGTCATTGTGTGCACTAAGGAGCATAAACGCTTGATATCGTTTGATATCATGATATGATACTTTCATATCGCATCATTATACTGGTATTATCAGGCAATATAGTATGGCACCTGTGTATTAACTTATCAAGTTAATAATAATGACATGAACTAAACTATGTTTGGTTTTTATTTATTTAGCCTTTGCTCACATACATTTCTTTTAATTCTTGGCAGGTTTGAGGACCTCTGATCATATAGGCTTGCCTGGTGGCCAATCAGGCAACAGCCAGGCTCACTAAGGAGGGAGACATACAGTGAGACTGGGAGACGTTTTTTTTGAGCACACCAGCACTGCTTTACCCACCTCACGCCAACCTCAGCGTCATGTCTATCCCCAGCGGCAGCCCGGAAAGAGAGGGCTCTGGTGGGGCTCCCCCTCAGCTGGAGTGCCCTTCCTCCCCACCTGGCATGGATCCAGATCCCTCATCGAATGGCAGCCCTGTGCTCAGCCCAGACTCCTCTTCCCACGATGCAGTGCTGTCAGCACCTGCAGCCTCCCCAGCAGACTCCGAGAACTTGAGTCCTGATGAATTAGAGCTGCTAGCCAAACTGGAGGAGCAGAACAGGTAAGATCAGTAGTTGTCATTGTTGTGTTAAGCTTTTAAACTGAAAACACAGCAGTTTTTTAGCTTCAATGTGGCCCAGGATTTATTAACTATTTGACTTTTTTTTTCTTGTATAGGAAGCCAGTCAAATCAAAGTCTTTGTAACAAACCTTGTAGCACCATATCAGACTAAAAAAAAAAAAAAACAACAACTGCGTGAGAGCTGCAAGTTTAATTGCAGTTTTCACAAGAAAATGAAAACTGCATGTTTAAGAACCCTGTTTATGTTTGATGCACTGATTGAGGCATGTGCAAAGTGTTATAGCAGCACAGCATTGTTATCAGAATGCAGTAGTCTCTTTTTGCAGAAAATCTTCCCCAAAAAATCTGCTTCTGCCTTGATTTAACACGGAGATGCCTGAAGAGATTCGCCTGTTCACAGGGAGATGAAACTGAAAAGACACTAAAGCGTATTGCATGCCAGCAGTTATGACTTCACATTTGGCACACACCACTGAGCACAAGGACAACAGTGAGGATGAACTGCTGTTAGAGTCACCAGGCAAATCTAATAAAAACACTTAAAAAGATTGGCAACTTTGGCCCAAAATAAGCATTTTTTTTCCTCTGCAGATTTACTCACTATTACATTGTCAATATCTGCCTCATCTCACCTGAAACTCTGAATGAATGTCTTGGTAATTGAAAAATTGGAAAATTACTATTATGTTCATGCCTGTGAGTGTATGTAAACTTCTTACCACAACTGTAGATACTGTGAAGGAACAAGCTGGTTAGGCATGAAGTCACAGAGCAGTTACAGAAAAAGTAGATTTTATTTTATCTAAAATTGCCAAGAAAACCCAACAAATTTTTACAAAAGTTAAAATATTTTTATGAATCCTTGAAAGAGATCAAATAAATAGCTAAACTCAAGTTGTGTTATATAATCCCCTGTTCAGTGTTGGGAAGGTTACTAAAATGTATTCCACTACAGATTACAGAATACATGCCCCAAAATGTATTTTGTAACGTATTCCGTTACATTACTCAATGAGAGTAACATTCTGAATACTTTGGATTACTTAATAATATATTATCATGCTTTTTACAACTACATGACTGTACTATTGCTGTGTGATTTATTACTATTACTGAAGGCTACTCGCCATACCAATACCAACTAGATTTTTAAATCTTAATATGAAATGAGTAACAGTAGGGTGGACATTAGGTAAGGCTGCACTTTTTGCGGCGATCACAAACTATTCAGCACGTATATAAAACAGGTCCCATAGTAAAGGGACCTCTGGCTAATACGTCGGGTTGCGTGTCGGGCTGTTAACCGAAAACTAGTTTTACTTTCTTGCCTGGGTCAACTTTGCTAGCGAGAGGCAGAGAGAGGCGTTGAAAGGCTGCTCCAACAGAACTTATTGTTTCGGAGAAAAACACGAACACAGTGTACAGACGAGTCTTAATAGCTTACTTACAACTGGGCTACACTGCCCATAAGGTTACATTCTTTAGGGCTATGCCTGTAACACTCTGCCTATTGCTTTCATATTAAATCATTTTTTGAACAATAATTTTTAAAAATATTTTGTCACATCATTATGCGGGCCGCAAGTAGAGGTGACAAGGGCCGCGACATTGAAACACAGGCATTAGAGGCTCTTAATGCGTGTTTTGTTTGGGTTTCCACCAGCGTGGAATTACCAAAAATACAGAGGGGACAGCCTAACATATGAAACAGGAAAAGACTCCTGTGTAATCCCTTTTTTTTTTTTTTTTTTTTTAAATTAACAAAGTAACCGTATTTGGAATACCACCCTTTAAAATGGTAACTGTAATGGAATACAGTTACTCATATTTTGTATTTTATATACGTATTCCATTACTCCCCAACACTGCCCGTGTTAATATTACAACTAACTGCTCAAACAGAACAGACCCAAAATCAGCTTAAACAAACCAAAGACTGACCCGACAAAGGAGAGATAAAAATACTGCCTCATCCGATCAAATGAGAGACACAAGAAGAACATACACTCTAACAAATGAATTCATTAGAAGGAAACAAACCCAAGAGTTATAGTTATAGTAACTATTGGTTACTTTATATTAACATAAATTAATTAGAACTAAAGTCAAGAGTCCAAGGAAATAGTCCTGCATTCCTGGGCATTCCAGGACGTCAGCAGCTAAACGGACTCCACGGCATACTAAGGTTAAACTGTGTACCACAAATAGAACCAAGGTATTTCAATAAATGCTAAACAATTACGAGAATGATGTGCGATATCAAAGATTGTGTTGTCAAGTTTGTGTTCGTGGAACTCAATTATGATGAGAGGTTCCCTGCAGCAAGGAGCCTTCATGGTGTTACGGCTTCTTTCTAGGATTGTTAAAGTTCACATATGGAACAGAAAGGAAACACACAAAGGTACATCTAGATAGAAATTCGCATTGAAATTACCATTTTTGACATCCAAGTGTAATGGAGTCAGGCATGATGGAAAGTAGGATTTATAGCAAATATAAAACTTTTCTGGTTTTCTGATTAATACAGCTGAATTGTGTAGCCTCTGTTAATAGTCACGATAGCGGGAGGGTCACATGAACCACCATGGGGTTCACTCAAGACCAACTTTCTTTAGAGAATAAAATTTTATAATCAAAAAGGATTAAAATAAGATACTTTGCAATTTCTATGTTGTGTGTTACTTCAGGAAGCTCTGTGTTTCAGGATCTATTTTTCCAGGGATAAATTTGAACATTTATTTTCTTGGCTTCAGAGAAAATAATTGTTGTTGTTTTTTTAATTCAAGGTTGAGGTTTAATCTGTGTTAGGTAATGTTTAATCCCACACAACCAGGAGCACTGGCCTTTGCATTGGAATTTGTATTTATAAATGTGTTACCTTAAATAATCCACCACTGCAGAAGGAGTGTTTTCATTAGGCTGTATTTACTGCCATCAAGCTAAAATCCCAAGAAATCACATTGAGAAGAAGAACAACAGTAGCACATTTTCAGCTTCACAGCCAGTCCCAGCAGAATGGTCAGAGTGCTGGACGGAGGTGTAAAGTGACTTAAAAGAAACCGACATTTGAGGTCAAAGTGGACTGAACCTTGGAGTAAAGAGCTGCCCTTCTTAATCACATCACCTCTGCATTTTGCTGCCCTGCTGTACAGCAGACTCCACAAGGACTTAAAGGAAATCACTCGCCCCAGCCTATATTTGAGTTCGAGTTCTTCCAAATTCAAACTCATAGTTCAGGAGCATTTTAGCTTTAGCTTAGCATATAACCATTAAACGCCCTTCCCACCTAAATAAATGAATAAATAAACCAAGGGGAACATGCCTTGCAGCTGCTGGTGCCTCTCTAAATTTAGCATTTTTTGCAATGTCACATTCTGCCTCTCGCTCTCGCTTATCTTAGCTTAACTCTCCAGTGTGTAACATAAATAAGCTCTCCTGTGTGATCAGTCATAAATTCAGCTTCCTGTTCTCATAATCTGTGTCTTCACGCAGGTTGCTGGAGGCTGATTCCAAGTCCATGCGGTCAATGAGTGGCTCGCGACGCAACAGTGGCTCCTCGCTGGTCTCCAGCTCCTCGGCCTCCTCAAACCTGTCGCACCTGGAGGAAGACACGTGGATCTTATGGGGCCGCATCGTCAACGAATGGGAGGAGTGGAGACGCAAGAAGGACAAACTCCTGAAGGTGAGGGGAGAGTCTGGCACTTGAAGTGGAGAATGAAGTATTTGGAAGGCACATGTGGTTTTTTTCACTGAGAATGAGTCACTGAGTGCGATTCAAAATAAGAACACCAGTAAGGAAATTATGAGCCTCCTCATTTTATTTTTATAGTTGGCGGGTCACATTTCACAAGTTGATTTTCCAATTTGTTTCCTAATGTCTGACTCATATTCTAGTTTGCTTTGTTTTTTTTAAGTGGCTGGTTGGTCATTTATAGCTTTGCTCACAGACTATGACTGGTTTATTTCTATTCGTGAAGGCACAGTGGGTCTCCTTTTTCTAGCTGTCTGCAAGTGTGCTCAAAAATGTCTCGCAGTGTTACCCTCAAATTCAGCACAAACAAAAACACTATTGGTATGAAGCTGTCTTTTTTGTTTGTTTGTTTTTAATACAGTAAAATACCAATAATCCCCTCTATCTGCCCTCTGCCTCCCATCCCTCTCTTTGTGTCTCTGTGTCCTCCATCACAAAAAGACTAAACCCCCAGGGAAGACAAGACGGATGAGAGAGGACACAATAAAAATGAGTCAGGGGAACCTGGGAGCTCACACAAAAATCTATAAGCAGGCTATAAATGCTGAAAATAGAAAATAGCAATCCATCATAATTTACAACTGAGTGTGATTACAAAATGATGCTAGATTGTCCTTGTAAATATAAATCTGTTAGCGTTTCATAATTGAGTTTGCATTGATGTCTTTTCTTCTGACGTGCTTTAATATCTGTAAAATGACATCTTTCAGTATATAAAGAGGCTGGGTATTAATAATGGATTGCATTTATATAGCGCTTTTTGGGGCCCTCAAAGCGCTTTACAATTCCACTATTCACTCACACACCGGTGGAGGCAAGCTACAGTTGTAGCCACAGCTGCCCTGGGGCAGACTGACAGAAGTGAGGCTGCCATATCGTGGCTCGGCCCCTCTGGCAATCAGCAGTAGGTGAAGTGTCTTACCCAAGGACACAACAACCGAGACTGTCCGAGCCGGGGCTCGAACCGGCAACCTTCCGGTTACAAGACAAACTGCCAACTCTTTGAGCCACGACCGCCCTGTACTCTATTTTAATATAACTCGTTTCACTCTCTCTGTCTTCCAGGAGTTGATCAGAAAGGGCATTCCTCATCATTTCCGGGCCATCGTGTGGCAGCTTCTGGGCAACGCCACAGACATGCCGGTGAAGAACCAGTACTCTGAACTGCTGAAGATGTCCTCCCCCTGTGAGAAGCTAATCCGCAGAGATATCGCCCGCACCTACCCTGAGCACGAGTTCTTCAAAGGCCAGGACAGCCTCGGACAGGAGGTCCTCTTCAATGTCATGAAGGTGAGAACTGCAGCGTTTGATCACCTCAAGGTCTGAATTTATCAGGGGGAGGGGCTTTTTTGTGTTTTTGAAACATGGTTTATCATCTGTAAAAACGGACTTATTTACACTGTGAGCTTTGAAAAATGTATATTGGTCACACTGGAGAAAAAATAAGACCAAACCAAAAATGGTTACAAGCACTAAGCGCTGATTTTGGTTGAGCCGCAGTCTTCAATCACTCTGTAGTGTCACTGTAGCACAACAGATGGATGAACAGTCAACTTTCTGGAATTTCCTTCACTTGCTTTCTTAAATGACACATCTACAAATAAATGTCTGGATAAGAACGACTAATATGGATATGTTGATTTAACAGTGGTGTGAAATTATTGTATTTAGCTATTGTATTAATTTTTTTTTTTAATTCCGACTTTATTTCAGAATGACAGGAAGTGCTGTGTAGTTTTAATGAAACCCTAACATGCAAAACTAAAAGCCATTTTTAAACCTTTAATCTTTCTGCAGCAAATGGAAGGATTTGATTGGCTGTGTCTTTTTGATCAGACTGGGTTTTACCTTCGTAATGTGATTTTTTTTGTTCCTGGGGAGAAAAACAAATTGCAGAGACACACAAAAATGTGGAAATATGTTTACTATCATGGAGACAAGCTCGTTTCCTGTCTGCAAATCAGTCGAGCTCCCTTGTAGCTGAGCTGCTCAGGAAATGAAGGGACCTCTGTTGACTTGTTGGTCCTGTCGCTAGGTCTGATTGTCCTGTCACAAATAAAGATGTATTTTTCTAAACATACAGAACATAGTAACTGAAATCTGTTGTGTGTGTGCATCCTTTTTTTCCTTTTTTCAGGCGTACTCTCTGGTGGATCGAGAGGTGGGCTACTGCCAGGGCAGCGCATTCATTGTTGGATTGCTTCTAATGCAGGTAATTGTCAAACGGTGTGCTGCAGGAAACTGAACCATAAGAGAATATTTTTGCTTCAAGGCTCAGCACATTTTATCTGTAAACAATGTCTTTATTATAGCCACAGTTATTTATGTAGCAGGTCTTTGAAAAATTAAACTGCAGTTAATTTGTTTTTTGAGATGGTGTATAATACAGAGTCCAGCACAGTTTGATTTCTAACAATCTTCTCGCCTTCTCCCAGATGCCAGAGGAGGAGGCCTTTTGTGTTTTTGTTCGTCTGATGCAGGAGTATCGCCTGAGGGAGCTCTTCAAGCCCAGCATGGCAGAGCTCGGTCTCTGCATCTACCAGTTTGAATATCTGCTACAGGTAAAGAGGAAGCAGGAGCGTGCATCTAAAAAACGATAAATGTTGCAGTGTGAACGCTCTCCACAAAGGGGCAGCAGATCTTTCTTTTCTTTTTTTGTTTTTTTAATCTCCAGCACATGACTTCCTTTTCAGGTATGTTCTCTTGGGTCTATTTTAGTTTTTTGAGATGTTAACTTTCTTTCCTGTTTTTGTTTTTTGTTAACATTTGCGATTTCAGGAGCAGCTTCCAGAGCTGAATGTCCATTTCCGGTCCCAGAGTTTCCACACTTCCATGTATGCCTCATCCTGGTTCCTCACGCTTTTTCTCACCTTTCTCCCTCTTCCTGTCGCCACACGCATCTTTGATATTTTCATGTATGAGGTAAGAAATATACAAAGCATACAAAATATCAAAAGATTGGTTATAACTGTGGATATGTTCCACCTTACTAATTGTGTTTTTCATATATATATATATATATATATATATATATATATATATATATATATATATGTATGTGTATATATATGTGTATATATGTGTATAATATTAATTATACAATATCTGACCTCTCTGCAGGGCCTAGAGATTATCTTCCGTGTAGGCCTGGCAATCCTGCAGTACAACCAGACTGACCTCATTCAGCTGGACATGGAGGGCATGTCACAGGTACGCAGCTGTAGCTTTGCGGTGCCTTCTGCAGAAATTGTTTTGTGCACAGATTGAGCCATGAGTCAAAGGCTGAACGTCCCACTTTCCTTTTTGCACGCAAGCTTCCTGAGCTACAAATCTAAAGTTATGATCTAATTTGATAAAAATAAGCTGCTCTCGTTTACGTCCATTCAACGTGATTTTATCTGATTGTCTTCTATGAAATGGAACACTGACTTGCTGCTGAATTTTACACTATGTTTGTGTTTAAATTTTGTGTCCGTCAGGCAGCGTCCACAATCTGGATTTACAGCAATTCAGTAGAAAACGTGTAATTTTTTGTTGCTCACTAATAAAAACCTTTTAGATAGGTGAATTTGATCTGGATCTTAATTTCTTTTCTTTGATCATTTCTTATCTTTATCTTCCTCACAAAACCTACGGAAAAAACATTAAGTTTGTACCTGTACATTTCCCAGTTTTTTGACTTGCACTGCAAACTTGAATTAATTTGAATACTATATATGCTTCCAGTTCCTAGAAGTGCATATACATTTTTACGCATGCCAAGTGAGACTGTCATGTCATTAAATCAAAGTATATTAAAATATCTTAGTTTCTTTTTTTGTTTTTGTTTTTTTAAGCAGGAGCTCCTGGCTTGCCTCAAGGCCTTTTGTAAATCTGTGGCTGTTTTTTCTTTACTCATTAAAAAAAAAAACGAGTCTCTGCATCTTCATTAAATATGAATGACCATCTTTGTCATGTGCGTTTCTCCCTTGGGGTCTGCCAGCATTTCCAGAAGGTGATCCCCCACCAGTTTGACAGCTGCCCAGACAAGCTGATCCTCAGGGCCTACCAGGTCAAATACAACCCCAAGAGGATGAAGAAGTAAGAACGCTCGTTAGTCGGCTAACAAATAGTCAGACTTAAAGCTGGAGAGCCTTTATGTAGACCAGTGAGAGTTTTGTTTGTGTCTTACTAATGCTGAGGTTTCTACACTTAAGCGTGTGCATGGTTGTTGTTGTGCGTTTGTGCTGTTTAGGTAACTTCTGAAAGTTGTTTTTCTGCGCTGTACACCTCAGATCTTTGGCTTTTAAACATTATAGTTAAAAACAAGGAAGATTGAGGTAACATTACGTTTTCTTACTGTTGTATCTTTCTCCTCAGACTTGAGAAAGAATACACCACCATCAAGAACAAAGAAATGGAGGAGCAAATTGAAATTAAGGTGCTTATATCTTGTTTGTTTGTACTGCAATAAAATATTTGAAAAGTGAAGTGAAGCAAACATTTTCCACTTGTCTTCCTTCTCTCTGTGTTCAGAGGCTACGCACAGAAAACAGGCTGCTGAAGCAGAGGATCGAAACCTTGGAGAAGGTGAGATAGGCAGATGTGACTTCAGTTTATCTAAATGTTAATAAACATGAGAACTTCACTGAAATAGAGAAATTGGATGAGGCTGAGCTAACACGCTTCACATTTTGATTCTAGTTAAATTCTGTGTGGTTCGGGGTTGAAATTTACAACTGACGAATATATTGTTATTGGTTTTCTTTCCTGTGTGTGTGTGTGTGTGTGTGTGTGTGTGTGTGTGTGTGTGTGTGTGTCCGCCTTTTGTGCTGTTTCAGCACGCTGCTTTTGTTCATATTTTCCTCTTCTGTGAAATTGTTTTCTGACTGATCTCACTGCTGCCTCTTTATTCCCTCACAAACATGTCTGTGTTTGGTATCTCAACTTTTTCTTACGTCCCTCCTTTTGGAATTCATCCTGGTTTTTCTTGTGTTTTATCCTTCCTGGTGACCCACTGCTTTTCACTCTCTTCATCTCTTTATTTTCATCCTCTTGTTCCTCTCCTTCGTTGCGCTGTAGGAGAGTGCTGCTCTTGCAGACAGACTGATACAGGTAGAGTACTGTAAACCACTTTCCCACTGACCTTGCTGTCCTTTGTCGTACTCACACTCTGCTCCTCTACCGTCCTGCATTGCTTCTCTCCCTCTCCTGTAACAGCATCCTGCCAAAAGTGCATGAAAGCTTTTTGTTTACATCGTATATTTGTCTCTAGCCCACAAGACAATCCTTTAATGCCTGAATGCATGTAGTATTTATCCATGATGGAGACTGATGACGTTGTACAATCCTGCATGAGGCATGTTGAAGTTCAGCTATTACTATCATTCATTTATATTTGAATACCTACAATTAAGGAAAATTTGAATGAAATGTACATTTATTTGCTTTCTTGCTAAACGCTCTAGAAGGTATAGATACGTGATTTGATATTGAATGTGTTTGATTTAATTTGTACAAAATTGTAGAAAAAAATACACCAGAAACTTGTTTTCTTCATGGTCATGCTTGAGATCTAATAATTGTTAAAAAACAGAGACTGAGACTGAGTTTTAAGTTTTTTATTGCTTTCGGATACAGCCAGGTTAGCTTTCTGTCTGTGTTTCAATTCATCATGCTAAACTGAGCTAGTTGGTTGTTAGCTTTAGCTTTAAAGGACAGATGTAAGAGTGTGAGTGATATCCTCAGGTAGGCGATTTACAAGAAAGCAAATAAATCTCCTTACTAAAATGTTGACTCTCAGTATGACATGAAGCAAAGTTCTCTATAACCATTATATTGTTGTTTTGTCTGGAACCACCCTTTTCCCCCTGCATAGTCTGAATTTGAAAATTGCACTCCACTGACGATTTTAAATGTCATCCTATTTTGGTCACACTATTCCAGGGTCAGGTGACTAGGGCGCAGGAAGCAGAGGAGAACTATGTGATCAAGCGAGAGCTGGCGGTGGTGAGGCAGCAGTGCACCACAGCTAGCGAGAGCCTTGAGAAAGCACAGGACACCATCCGAGAGCTACAACAACGGAGGGTAAAAGAATGAATTAATAAATGAACCAAGATAGCAAGATGAACTGTTTCCCTCCTGCCTACAGTCTTTATTTTGTCCTATATTTAACTTACAGATAGGCTCTGTAAGCTGTGTATTTCCTGATAATGCTTTTACTGTTTGTCAGATTATTTGGACTCAAAATCAGGGCACAAATGTCGCAAACGTTTAAGTGATTTCACTAGAATGCAACACAATTTGATCAGATTTCAATGTCAGTATATCAAAAGGTTTACAACTTTGTCAAGTAACCGAATATATCAAAGTTCACTTTGTTGTCAAAGACACACACACACTCTAGTATGATTGTTAGTATGAGCCAGTCATAGACTGTATATGGAAAAAGGACAAAGCCACTATAGCATCATTTGTGAAGCGCCAAAGTTGCCCATCTGGCTGGCGCCATGTTGGCCAATTGTGGAAAAATTTGGATTGGGAATCTTCCTGGTGACTGATTTCTTAGTCAATTAAACATGGGGTAAAAAATCTGACTAACCGACTAGTCTAAAACCAAGAAACACTCAGATATTAAGTAAATTTGAGAACCGTTTAATGCCAAAAACTAATAACAAAGGCTTTTTAAACACTTAATCAACTTCTTCAACAATGAATCATTCCACTTAACTAGATTAGTCATCTAGTCGACTAGTCGCACACATCCCTAATTTGGATGAGAGAGTGGTGCGCAAACTTGTCAGCTAACTCACGCAAGTTAAATAAAATATAAGTAAAATATATGTATAATTACAAATATACAATTGTTCCAGTACTAACACAGTGGGGAGGTTAAGCTCAGTGAATTAGCAGGAAGCGATTAGCTGAAGCTGGATTGGTACCCGTCAGTCAGTCTTTGCGGCGATGTTTTCAGTTTTCAAACTCAAACGTTGCAGCTTGGTATGAACAGACTGTCAGACTGACTCATAGTAATGGCTCGTTTAAGTTATCCCATGGTGGGAGTGATGTACTAATGCTATATTTTATACAAGCTTGTGGAAAACGGATAAAAAAAAAAACAATTGGGGCCGACTGCGCCTCTCAAATATGGTCAGACTGGTCAGACTAGCGTTGATTTGTTTCCGATATGTTCTTTATGCTGCTTTGATAACAAAGTAGTGAGTCACGCATTTGTATTTTCTCACAAACCTTCAAAGAAAATCGGTGATTAACCCGTGAGCTAACCCCGCAAAGGTGCAAAGCTCAGCACCCAAAAATGAAACCGTTCAAGTTCTGTTTTAGCAAGATGTTTACATACAGATGAGGCACAAAGACTTCTACAGTTTTCACACCATGGAGGTGAGGTGAGGTTTATGAGGTGAAATCTAGTTAGTCTAGCTCTGGAGGAGAGCCAAATAATGTGGAACCTATCACTGTCTAAAAAATACTGTTGGACGCCAGTGAAGCCAGTCTGACTGTTACGGGTGCCATTCAACAAGCTTTTAGTAATGGAAATATAGTTACTCCCAAAGGACAGAACAAAAAGAGATGTGAGCCCCAGCTAAAACAAACAAAGAGGAAGAAGACCATGAACCAATCACACAATGGGCCATCGAATACAGGCTTCTCACTCAAACTAGTCCTGGAAAACTAGAAAAACAGAAACCAAACTGAAAACAGTAGTTCCAGGAGCTCCCGACTCAACCTGTACAGAATAAACAAAGCTATGAAAGCAACAGATTGGTAAAGCTTGTGCTGATGGAGATCTGGTGGGATCCAAGACGCCAATGGCCGACCCTCCTGCTCCACTTTCTCCGGGTTTATATTCATGCAGCAAGCCATCAGCAGCCAACACTAACAATAAATCTGCAAAGAAAGAGGGCGCAGGTTAATCAGGGTGACAATAAAAAACTGGACCAACAGGCTGAGGTCGCACGTAACACTGATGGCGGCTGTAAAGGTTGCACGTGTACATTTTACAGAGCAGCTGTTTGTTGTTTTGAGTTGTTGTACGTGTGATACACAGCCTGATTGAAAGTAATAGTGTGACTATGATTAAATGTTGAAACTTGTTTTGTTAATGTAGCATAGATTATTAAAACGTGGTTTCAGTTAAACACTGAAGGAAAAGCTAATCAAACTGTATTTGGTGCATAGTACTGTAAAGTTAAAAGAAGTGATCCTACATTATAGGATGACTGATTTTTGTTTTTAATTCATTCAAGTTCTGTGAGTCACATGATATTGGAATTATTATACAAATTAGAGTTGGGTGTAATTTAACATGTAATTCATGTATGAACTGTTTTTGCCTCCCAAAACAGTATAAATAACATATTTTAATATTATTTATTTATTTATTTTTACATATAATATTGTTCAAGGAAAAATATGAAAACTGACTTTCCAAACATTTTTATATGTACGAGAGACTCTGCTTCTCTACTGTGAATTTCTAGTAAATATGATGTTTAGTATAGTATTTAGTATTTAACGCCACATTGGGTTTAACAGAGAACACCCACGTTTGCTTTTCCACATGAGTAAATGTATGCATGTCAGTTTCTGTATGTTCCGCAACCGCTTTACTGACTTACTCAAAAAAAAAAAGTTTTGTGGTCTTTGCCAGTGCTGTTAACCAAAGCTTTGCTCTTAATATTTATAGGTTCAACTCACACCTACCTGTGGGAAGGTAGTGTGAAGAGCAACAGCACGATGTGAAGGGAGCAGATGGTTCACTAAAATTATAATTTGCTTTGCTTTAAAAGAAAAACTCCAGTCACTGATTTTTCTCTAAATGATGTCATTGTTACGTGTGCGTCTATTCCAGCTCAGATTGCTGGTACCCATCACCCACCAGGGTTCACACACCTCCAGACACTCTCAATCTTCTTTGATAACCAAGACTGAGAAGCCAAAAATGACAAATCACGAATCTTGCAGTCACGCTATGTACTTGCCCGATTTCAAGCGTTTGTAATTTGCCTCATTGGAAAGTATTTTTCCACTCAGCTCTCTCTTTTTTTTTTTTTTTTTTTTTTTTGCTGCTTTCATATTCATAGCTTTGCAGTTTCCCCTTGATGTGGTGACATGTTAGTGTACAGTAGCATGCTGACATCACAGACAGCGGGACACAAGTGCACCTTCATGGCAGCTAAATTTAGGTTGTCGGCTGTTTTGAAGGTTGTACACAGACATTTCTAGGCGTAGGTAACATATTTGGATTTTACTCGCTCACTAGTTGCAGTTGAGAATGGATGCTTTTGGTTTATTTTTTATAAAAGTGTAAGTCTAACGCTGCTGCTGGGAATCACGTCCATTTATTCCCCCACAAATAGCTCGTTGATAGGTCATGTTTCCATCTCTCTGTGGAATTCCTTGTCTCCCGTTTCTTCCTTTTTCAGGAAACTAAATGTAAAAAAAAAGAAAGACAGATACATAACACTACCTTGAGTTTTCACCCCTTGCAAGATTGTGGTAATCTTAGCTGAACTGTTAAACTGGTCTGCAAATGAGAGTGAAATGGAAGCCAAGCTCTGTTCAAAAACCTAATTGTCTCATCAATAAATAAATATCAGTATACAAATACCAGGTAGAAAAGGCTGCTCAACTAAAACTAAAATAAATAAAAGTTGACCTACATTATATCTTTAACACTAGGATGTTTGTTTCAGTACACAGAGCAGTTTGTGAGCAATCTGCAGACCGAGCTGGAGCAGTCGAGGCTCCGCGAGGCCGAACTGCTTGGAGCTCTGAAGGAAATGCAAGACAAGGTGCTCGATCTGGAAAAGGTGAGCTCACAAACATGCCTTTTTTTTTTCTTTTTCTTTTTTTTGAAACTGTGTGAAAGAGAATAGTGTGAACAGCAAGCAGACAGAAGGCGTGTGATTCTGTGAATGTGGTAAAGTCTGTCTGACCGTTAACCAACCTGTCTAACGTTTAATCCAAACACTCAAACAAATGACAGACACGTTCCATTTCTCAAGCTTTCATTTTCACTTGATGAGGTGTTGGAACACAAACGCTCTGCTGCTTCCCGATGAAGATTTTACTGAAAATTAACTCAAAACTGGACAAACCTTTTGTTTGCTTATACAGCGTCTCAAAGATTGACAAACCTGCTGGTTTGTAGTCAGGAGGTAAACATGCTAATGTTTTTATTAGTGGGTTGTTGCACCACTTTGGTTAGGAGTGAAACAACCTCACAACTGTCTGATGTCTGAACAAAATTTCATATATCAGATAGTTGTATTAATCTATTCCTGTCCCTCTCATACTACATTTAATAAGTCTGTCGACTCCTGGTCGTCAGGATACAGATGCCGCTGATTAGGCATGGTCACATTTAGCAAATGTAATATCTGATCAAAACTGAGGTTTTCATTCAGCAGCGTCACAAAGCAGGTCAGTTGCTACATCGGCCCCCTCGTCACCAATTTCAAATTATCTGCTAAAAAACTTGATTCTGTTTTTGACCAGCATTTGAACGCTTGGCGAGCTAAAGCTGTTTTTCTTATCTAGGAAAAACAACATTTCCTGTAAGTCAATAATTTGAAACTAAACTCCTATGCTTTCCCATGTCTAGATTATTTTATCTCCCATGAATGTGCACCCCTCAGTCTCCTCTGGTCCATCTTCATTTCAGCCAGAAGTTCTCACCACTGCTCACACATCAGCTCTATCATTGCTTTCTTTTAGTCCTGTAAGATTTAGAATTTTAAAATTAGATTACCTACATGCAAAGCCTCATGTGACCAGGCTCGTGTTTAGATATAGCAGATCTGCTGAGACCTTACTCTAGCAGTCAGCTTCTCTTATCATCTGATCAGGGCCCATTTCAGCTGTGGTTCACACCACTGTTTGTATATATTATATATTATATATTATATATTAAGATGCATACAATTCTTTAATGTGTGGTTTCTATTCAAGTGTTACAAAAGTAGTTATTGTTAATTATTATTATTATTATTATTATTATTATTATTAACAATAACGATAATTATGATAATAATAATAACAATAATGCTGTAGGTACTGTGGTACATTCTGTATTAATCACCAAGGTATATTGTGTTTCACTGAAATCTAATAAGGATTCCCTTCCTCATAAAACCTTTCCCATGTACGTCTTCATATATGCATTAGGCTGCGTGTGTGAATTTGCTAACTTATAACCGTGAAATGTTTACTATCTAGAGGAGCAGTTGCCTGCCAGATGAGAACAACTTGGCGACCCTGCAGGAAGAAGTGAAGCAAATGAAGCTGAGGGAGCTGGAGACGCTGCGCTCATTCAGGGAGATGCAGGAGGCTGTCACTGAGCTGAACCAGCGCTGGCAGGTAAAATGGGAACAGATCTCTCATCTGTTTGGTGGAGTGCATGAGTGCGCATAATGTACCAGCGGCCAGTTACACCTGTCTGCTCTTTCGCAGCATCATATGTCCCGTAGCAGCAGCACTGGTGGTGGGGGCGGGCACTGGAAGGAATCGCCGAAGAAGAACGCCATGAATGAGCTGCAGGACAAACTGATGACGGTTAGGCTGAGGGAGGCTCAAGCCCAGGCGGAGCTCCGAGAGGTTAAACTTAAAGCCCTGCAGCTGGAGAGTCAGGTAGGTGCTGTATAACTACATTGTACTGTCACACTGCAGCAGTGGGCTTGTGAGTCCTTCTCTGATGTATGCATGATTGTGAAGCATAAAAGTTGTCATGTTTGTTTATTTTACACATTTATAAGAATGAATATAACTTGCTGAACTAGGGAAATCAGCCCTGTGGTGTTGGGATATTACATTTTGTTTTGCTTTTTCAATTATGAATGTGCATCGTGCCTGACATGCACATAATGAAAATGAAACAAAGTATAACTGAATCAGAAAAGATTTTATTGTTTGTTAATTGTTAGACCATAGTGCCACTTGTGAGATGTTTTTGTTTTCATTTATTGGGTTTTGTTGTTGTTGTTGTTGTTTCATAAATATAAGAGCTCTACTCTCACCATCTACCATTTAACCTCTTGTTTTAGAACCAGATCCACAGCAAACTGATCGGACGCAACGAGCAGGAACGCTCTGCCCTGCAGGACCGACTCCAGATGGTGGCCAATCAGAACAAAGCTCTGCAGGCCCAGCTCAACGAGATGAAGAGGAAGCAGGCCGAATCAGACTGCAAGGTCTGGATAGTGAAAGGTGGAAAGAGAGGCAGAGGAGCAGATTTAACAGAAAAGAGCAGAGTGACGTGGAGAGCAGCATTTTCTTATTATTATCGCCTCTGTCAGTGCGCCCCAGGGTGGCTGTGGCTACAATGTAGCTTGCCATCACCAGTGTGTGAATGTGTGAATGACTGGATATGTAAAGCGCTTTGGGGTCCTTAGGGACTAGTAAAGCACTATATAAATACAGGCCATTTACCATTTTACCATTTAAGAATTATTAATAGGAAACTAAAATCTGTAATAGAAAAAGAAACCTTTTGACTGAAGACAAAAAAAAAAGATGCCTGGAACAGAGAAGATAAAAAGATACATGAGAAATGTTGAAAAATGGTCAGAGCATAAATTCTGGGGTTCACATCCTGAAAAAGATCAACAGATGTAATAGAGGAAGTCTAGAATGAAAGATGAATGACACAGCAGGATGTAGAGACAATTTATTGTTCTTTACTATCTCTAATTGAAATCCATTAAAAGGTTGTCATTATAAAGGCTCACTTATTACCCAGAAAATATTGTTTAACTTTTTTTTTTTTCTTCCTGTCAATGTGCTTCCTTCCTCCCTGTGATGCGTGTAGAGTAAAGAGGAGGTGATGGCAGTGCGACTGAGGGAAGCTGACAGTATGGCTGCGATGGCTGAACTCAGGCAGAAGATCGCTGAACTTGAGATTCAGGTGTGTGTGTGCTCGTGTACTTCAGTGTCTGTCTGAGTGCATCCTTGAATAAACATTTGGATCTGTGGTCTTAGCCAGTTAAGTGATCAATGTATTAATCAAAGTGAATTCAGCTTTAACCTTGTGTGTCTGAAATTTGATTTTTAGAAGGAGGAAGGGCTGATCCAGGGCCAGCTGAACCACTCTGACTCCAGACAGTACATCAACCAGCTCCGGGACCAGATTGCCGAGCTCAAGAACGAGGTGAGGCAACCTTCTCCACATAGTCACAGACGAGCAGGCTCACATATTCAAGTCAGCCACTTGTCTGAAATGCTGGGTGCAAACAAAAAAACACCCTATTCGTAGGGTTTTATACTAAAACACAGCAAACCTGTAGCTGTTAAAACTACATACCAATGCAGTATTCACCATGGAAACATGAAACAATAGAAACATTTTTCAAAGCTGCCTGATTTTTTTTGTTGTTGTTTTTTTCCACTCCAAATGATTAATTAATTGAATATTTATCAGAATAATGAGTAGTTTAAACCATTTCATGCTTTGCTATACTGGGAAGAAAAAAAGCAAACAAGTTACGGCAGTTAAAAACATGTAGTGATATTTTAATCCCACTGATGTAAATGTCAGTTCATGGAAGCAGATGTTAGAAGTGGTTACCTGATAAAGATCTTAGACTTAGACTTAGAGAAGCAATTGTCCCTGCCCATCAGTCTGGGGTGGGTTACATCCATTTCCAAAAAAGCTGTCAGTCATTCTACTGTGAGAAATATTATTTACAAGTGGAAAGCATTTATGAGAGTGGCCAGTCTTCCCTGGAGTGGACATCCCAACAAATTCACTTCAAGGTCCGACCGTGCAATGTTCAGACAAATTACAAGAAACCTGAGATACATCTCTTACTCTACAGGCCTCAGTGATCATGTTAAATGTCAACAGTCATGACAGTACAGTTAGAAAAAGACTGAACGAGTACGGCTTGTTTGGAAGGACTACCAGGAGAAACCCTCTTCTCTCTAAAAGGAACATGCCAACATGGCTTAGGTTTAAAATGTTGCTTCAGAGCAAACAAGACTCCTGGAACAATGACATTAGGACAGTCAAGACCAAAGTGGTGGTGTTTTGTCATAATGCACAGCACCACGTTAGGTCAACACCTAATATCAGCACATATCATATGCATATCAGCACAAACACCTCATACAGACTGTCAAACGTGATAATGGTGGAGGGGCAATTTGCGTTTGTTTTGCAGCCACAGGATGTGGGAACTTTGCAATCACTGAGTCACATGTGAACATCCCTGTATACCAAAGTATTCTAGAGTCAACTGCGAGCCCATTTGTCCATGTTTCCACTGACGTTTCCACCCAAATTTGGTCATCCAATGGGTCGGTGATCCGAAGCACAGAACATCTAGAAAATCTACAACAAGAAGGCTGAAAAGAAAAGAATCAAAGTGTTTCAATGAGGTCAAAGTCCAGAGCTCAAGCCTTGTGAAATGTTGTGGCATGATCTTATCAGAGATGTGCATAAACAAATGCCCACACACCTCAGTGAATTAAGTAATGAGGAGTGGCCAGAATGTTCCACAAAAACAGATAGTTATACAGAAAATGATTGTTTTCTCTGATTTTTCTGATTTTTATCAGAAATATTTTTTGCTTTTTTTATCATGGACAAAAACAGGACATCCAGTCCAGATAAGTTTTCAAGACACCATTAAATAGAAAGAAGCAGAGACAGACTGGAAACCTGGCCGGTGGACTTTTTAACCATACTGAACACAATCATGGAGAGTGAGAGGATGCCTGAGGAATGGGGAGGAAGTGTACTCAAACTGGTTTTCATGCCAAGGGTGATGTGCAGAACTGTAGTAACTATGGAGATAGAGTTGAAGAGCCACACCATGAAGGTGTTGGACACGGCTGCTGAAGCTAGGTTAAGAAGAGAGGTGATCATCAGGCATCAGCAGTATGGCTTTTGATGTGATGTTTGCTTCAAGTGTTGATGGAGTAGGTCAGAGAAGATCAGAAGGAGCTTCGCTCAGGGTCTGTGGATCTAGAGCAGGGGTGTCGAACTCTTGGTCCGTATATTGACGTGAAGAAATATCATGCAATTTGACCCTTGAAGTTACTTTTTTGTTAGGGAGGATTTGTTTGTTATTGAGTGCGATGTTAAAATAAGTTCTTTAAAAAGCCAAAGATTATTTAACATGAAGTCAATATGAGCAGAGAGTACAAACGTGTTGAGGGATTGGCTGTGTTAGTTCAGTGTGAGAGTTTTTTGTAAAGAAAACAATTTTAACTAGCTGTCAAAAACTAATGTTTAAACTTGTGTCTGCATTTTTATTTTGTTAAATACGAACACAATTATAGCAGAAGTGCTGCCGCGTGTCTGACCAGAAGGAGAGTACCAATTTGTTTATTTGGTAGTTCAATGAAAGGTTGTAGTTAGTTAAGAGTGAGGGGGAATTTTTTATTTTTATTTTTTTGTAGTTTTTCTTGTTATACAATATTTTAAATTTTAAAAAACAAAACACTATATTTTCAGAAATATTTGTGGGTGTTTGTTTGGGTTTTTTTGTACTACTTGAACACTAAAGTTCCCTCCAATGAGATGGCAGTGACAGCAGTGGCCCACAGTTCATTTAAGTTTGAGACCCCTGATCTAGCAGAATCAGAATCAGAAACTTTATTGTCATTGTCATGAGAACAACAAATTAAGAATGGTCCCCGATCATTGCATCATCCCTAGCAATATCAAATATAAATAAAACAATAAACTAGAGGAAGAACGTGGTAGAAGGCCAAAAGAGGAACTGTGACACTGCATGAGGAAGTCAAGAGTGACAGAGAAGTAGTGAGGGTGATGAGGTGTGCAGTAAGAGAGGCAAATGGGTTTAAGGTAAGGGTGACAATAGATCATCAAGTGGCTTTGAGATTCTTGTTTTCAATGGTGATGGACAAGCTAACCAATGGGGTCAGGCAGGATTCTCTGTGGACCACGATATTATGTTGCTTGCTACGATGTTGACAAAGGAATTCCAGATATATTAGACAAAGGATGGTAGATGTGGTGTTGCTAGGCAGCAGGAAAGGCAGGCAGGAAGTCCTCAGAGGAGCTTCATGGATGTAGTTAAGGAGGACATGCCAGGCGGTTGGTGTGATGCTAGCGTGAGATGGAGGCAGATGATCCCCTGTGGGGGGCAGCTGGGGGGAAAGAAGAAGACAAAGACAGAGTATTGCCAGTAATTAAAAACATTTCTAAAGGAATAATCCAAGCTGATGTCTCTTCCACATTTTAGGAACAAAAGCAGCTAAATTACAAGCACTCAGATTACTAAAATTACTTATTTATTTTTGTCAGCATACTAAAAAAATCTCTGGATATTTACCAAGAATTCATTAAATGCATCCATTCATTATTTCATTAACACGTCACTTACTGTAGACTCAGTCACTTGGTCAGTTAGGTAGCTTTGAAAGGATATGACACCATCCTGGATTTCAGCTACTAAGCTGTGATTGGTCGATTATTTCTTCAACAGGAAAAAAAAAATTCAGACCGGTTTGAATCTTGGCCGCGGTTCGATGCTGTGTTGAAACCTGCGAAAGCATTTAAGCCATTTTTTCATTAGCTATTGATACGTATAAATGTGTGATCATTTATTAGGGGTATAAATGAACAATTTGTTTCACTTTTACTGGCTTTTCAAAATGGCGTGTGACACACAGATGCACATTGTGTGTGTGTGTGTGTGTGTGTGTGTGTGTGTGTGTGTGTGTGTGTGTGTGTGTGTGTGTGTGTGTGTGTGTGTGTGTGTATAAGATGCTCTGCAGCTTTTGGTAACCACCACAGATGAATCTTGTCATTTATGTACAGTCTCAGAACAGATACCACTTCCACCCCGACACACGCTCAGTTGTTTCAATGTCTTTCTCGTAACAAGAGATCAATTTTCTTCTTAACAGCTGTGTTCTCATTGTTTAGTTCACACTGGACTTTAATTCTGAAAACGGGGGGTCGAAAAGAATACAGAAGCCCTGCTCAATAACTTGTTTTTGGTCTGTTATAGGCTGAGCCCACAGCTCGAGTTCTGCTGATTTTTATGATGTAATTTGACAACATTTAGTGTTATCTTGGGTTCATGAGGATAATCTCCAGCCCTGATTGGAGACAGAAAGTTATCAGTCAGCATACACTTGGGTTTGTTCATTCAGAGAGTGTCTGTGCGTGACTAGGAGGAGGGAGTATGTTTAAACTTCAGAGTGAGGGGGCGTGATGAGACGGCCCTGCCCTTTAGCGCTCCTCTCCTCTTTTCTTCTTGTCACCCCACCACTTTTGATCAAAGCCGTGGTTTTCATAAATGAGACCGAAACTTGCGTGAGTACAGATGAGGAAGCAATGAACCATTTAGAAAAATCTCAGTATAGAGCTGAAAGCGATCATCATACGATTGAGTCATATTGGCGTTGCTGACACATAATGAGCCATTTTATAAAATGCAGCTGAATTAATTTTACATTTTTACTCGCACACATTTATTTTGATTCAGGTGGACATTGATTTTTTTGTGAAAGCAAATACTTTTCCATAGCATTTGGAGACTTAATTGTCTGCCAATTTTGATGTTCCTGTTCATATTGAGAGAGACTGGAGAGAATATAACCTATGAAGCCCGGTACCTTCTTATGTTTCTCTGCTGTAGCGTGAAGAGCTCAGACACAGTCAAAATATTTCCACTGGTTAACCACCGGTTTCCCCCTCCCCCCCACCTGCCCGCCCTGCAGCTAGCTTGAGTTTATGATTGGGGGAAAACAAAAACCTCTGAGATTTGTCATGAGTCACTGTGGTACATACAAGGCTAACATGCAAAAGGCATGCATGTGAAAAGTGGTGGCATCGCTGCTGCTCACAAGAAGAACTCTGCACTCTGCTAGTTGGACATCAGCCGCGGAGTAGAAACATGCAAACGCGTCCTTTTATGCTTGTACGTTTCCACAAAGCTACTTTTCTTGTCAACTTGAATAAAATTCAAATCGTACCACCACCTTCACCCTAATGACAGGTGCACGCTCAGATTTAGCTGTAAAGATCCCACAGTCCTATTTGCACATCTTTTAATGGTAAGAAAAAAATGCATCAGTGGGTTTCACAGGGTTTAGGGTTTTTTTGGTTTTTGGTTTTTTTAACACCCAACAACCTGTTTAAGAAAATTCCAATCACCTGACATTTAGTGGCTTTGCAAAGACGTGTCAAACGTATTTAAAAGCATTAAAAACCACTAGGCCTCATGCTACAGTAGTGTTCAGTAACATACACTCATTTGTCCTGTTACTTGCAAAATTCTTAACCTTTTGTCAACAGGTATTTAGGAGGAGAACGTTTAAGATAATACTGTTTATTGCACGGACGTACTGATGAAATTTCTATAAAAAGAAGTTTGCAGGCAGATGGGAGAGAGGTTTTTTTTTTTTTCCCTCTGAAATGTAAATACTGTAAATTATATCACTTCAGGGAATTATCTGGGAAGGGATCGGCTTTTGGGAGATGGACTTTGCACATAAACCTTATTGTTTCATCCAAACTGAAGGCATTTTGCTTTTTTTCTGGCTATCGAGTAAGCAAAAAGTCTTTTATGCTGGAGTAAATGAAAATTGCCACCATAATTAATAAATGGTGCTAATTTTTCCCTGGCTCTGTTTAAAAAGTTTTTCTGGGGTATTGAGAAAAAATTTCCTTTTTTAGATTTTCCTTCCTCAAAAACATTTTGACCCTTCTTGTTGACGTAATAAAGTATGAAGGACCCAATTCAAGTAATCAGGTTTTAAGAAACAGCTGTGAGTTTGTTAACCTGGCGCTTAAGGAAACTGAGATAACTGAGTTCTCAGAATTAACTAATGGTAACACACTCTGTTTCTAGGTCAGAAAATCCCAGAACGTTGATTAAATTTGAAGTTAAAGTTTGTTAAATGCGCTTCCTGGAATAAAACCCAGAGGTGCTATAGTTAATGTGCCGTGCCGCTGCCACTAAATGTGTCACGTCTAACCCCAAAAAGAAAACGTGTAAACTAACGGAAGGAAGCTTGAATTCAGGAACTAAAAACAATCTGGATCAGTAATCAGGGTCCACCAAACTGGTCATAAACGTGTTTTTCTACTGTTAAAAATAATCAGCACCAAATACAAATGCTTTTTCCTGTTTTAATAATGCTGCTCTATATACATCTATGGGAGCCAGTTCAGCATGAACATACGGTCTATATTTCAGTGCAATCAGCGTTTTCACAAGATGTTCTAACAACCTGTACTGGCTGGTGATTTTATCCAGATTAGCTGAGGGTGGGGGGGAAATACATCTGAACCACAGCCAGCCTACCTTTGACTAAAAACCTCCTTCTTTGTTCTCAGATCAGGCAGCTGCGAGGACAGAAGGTGACCCCCAGCTCCAGGGTCACCAGTGGAGGGGGAAGTACCAACTACCAGGATCTCTGCCTGGCCAGCCCCGCCTCCGCTGAGGGGGACTTCCTCAGCTCAGATGAGGACCTCCTTCCCAGCCCACTGCCGGCCACCGCCCTTTACCCCAGTCTTTCTGGCCAATGTCACCCGTCTCCACGCCTCGACAGCGAGGGCAGCACGGACAGCGAGGCAGAAGAGCGGGTGCAGACGCATCCGGACCCACAGCAGCTTTATGGCAGCATTGTGTGCGCCGAGGCACTGGATAACTGAGACCTCGGGAGGGTGCTGAGATCCCCTATGATCTGAAGAGACGCTGGAACTGGGATTGTAGTATCCAGTCAAGTCCTCCTCCTCGGCCTCTCCAGTCTTTATCTTTTACTTGATGCAGACATAGTGGCATTGATTGGACCTGTGCTGATCATCACTACCTGTTGTCTCTGCTCCTCGTTACTGTCTCCAACACCTGTTTCCCACACTGTCGCTCCCTGGCAAAGAGCTTACGTACAGCCTCCCTCCTCATCCCCACGTGTAACTGTGCCACAGACTGTCAAAATACACGTCTATCAAAAACATGAACAAATCACATACGAACAAAATGTACCGCTCGCTGCTCAAAATCTACCACTGGACCTGAATCTGTGACTGTGGCCACGAGTGAAAGACGAGTACACACAGAAGGAAAATCCTTCCTCCCTCTAAGCTGAGTAAGACATATGACGCACTGTATACTCTGGCCACCCCTATACGACTCTTCTCCCTGATTAGTTCAGAGTTAAATACATCCTTATCCTCCCCTTTCGCCCTCATCCATCTTCACTGCCTTTAAAAGAAACTTCTAGCCGCCACCTGTTCATCTCTGTGTTTTAAAAAAAAAAAAAAAAAAAAGGAAAGACAAAAAGGAAAAAGAAATTTAAGTGGTGATGATTAAACGAAGAAGTGGTCCGGAGCAGGAATACGCACACATCTGTATCAAACTCTACAGGCATATCACGTAAAGGCATTCCTAAATGAACCCTTAGCATACTGAGTACTTGTGCTGCCTGTGTGTGGCCTGCAGAAGGCAAGTGAGTTACACGCACAACCGTTCACGTTCACAGCAACCCACAAAAAGGCAGAAACTCAGTGTTGCCAAATCTTTTTGTTTGGTTTTTTTATGTGTTGTAATTTATTTTGATATTGTTTTTTTTTATATATCTATATGAAACTTGTAGGAGTGTAGACATACTGAAAGAGGCCAAACTTTCTACAACGTCCTTTGTGCCAACTAGAGTCATCTGTCACGGGCTCACTGTGACACACGCCGAGTGCTTCAGAGACAGAAAATGTGCTGCTATGATTTGACTTATTTCCTCCATTATTGTATTTTTTTGTTCTGTTATTTTATTTTATTTTTGTCAGTCTTGTGAGGTTACCATCCAACCTCAAGATTAACTCTATATCAATGTAGATTACTACTTGGAGTAATGTCTAAAAAAGCTGAATGGTTTAACTTTCTCCCAGAAGCTTTTCAGCTTTTAGCACCAGACTCTGTTGGGAGTACTTCAACATATTGGCAAATGCCTTTATTCCCTGTCAGACTGAGACCGAGATGAGACCACTCTGATATCTGTGTAAAGCTACAACTTGGATGGAGTTGGCTGATTTCATGCACAGCTTTGTTTTTACACTTTTTTGTATGGATTCAAGTAAGACTGCGTAGAGTTTGACGGACACGTTATATTTGCTATTATGGACTAGTTATCAGCAACTCGGCATACTAAACCAAGTAGCTAAGGCTGTAGCTGCTAATAAACTTTTGAGAGTGCTGAAAGTCAGACTTCTTTATATTTGGACAGCCCTGAGCTTATGCTGTGCTAACCAGTTTCCATTACTTAGCCTTCATATTCAAGACAGAAATGAGAGTGATCAAATGATTCCAGGAAACAAAGTAGATAAACCCAAGTAATCTGGCTCTTATCGCTTTCTGACAGCTAAAAGTGTGGGCCAATGACTGCAGAGGGTTGTTTCCTTGGCAAAGGTCAGTGTCTTCACGACAGGAGAGAGCATGGGTAGAAAAACGTTTAACATATCAAACAACATATTCTATTTAAAAAAATGGCTGTAAAATGAATGGAAACATATGAAATATACTGTGTGACAGGAACATATAGATGATATTTAAAGCTGTACTGGAGTGTGTATAGTTTATCAAACAGGGTGTTATATCTACAGAGCAGTGATCTTTGCTTTTTGCACTACAGAGAAAGACACGCCCAGCTTTGTGGCGCTGAGCCGTGAGAGCTGGTGTGGATTCGTGGAGTCGTGGTGGGATCATTTTTCAACATGTGCATTTCTTCAGAGGGACCTTAAAGATAGTCTTTGTCTTGTGTTTCTTCACTCTATTGACCAACTGTCTCTAAATCCTTTAGAGGCTTTCTGCTTCATAACAAAGCATATTTTATGTAATGCAAATCTAAAAAGAGCAGAGCGTTATTGCCATCCTCTCAGAAATTAAGTAATTGGATCTTCCAGTAATGGCCTTCAAAGAACTAAAGAGGATGTCAGTTTGCCCACCATACTGTTGCAAGTAACAGCTTTTTAGTGGTCACTGATGGTTGTGGCAACTGAAATCTCTACCCTGGAATCACTGCTAAGATATTGTCAAACCAAAATGACCGTTGTACAAGCGTTTCAGTTTTACAAATTTGCATCTGCTCTGTTTAGTATGAGAGTTGGACCCTTGTGTGTGTGGCCTGCAGAAGGCAAGTGAGTTACATGACATGATATTTTGCATCATGTCAGACTAAATTTCATGCAGAAGGTCATAATCATCACGATTTCTGGATATATCGGGCCCCCTCTATAGGGATGCTTTGATTTCAGTGCATTTATGTAATGCAATTAGCCCTTTTTTCATTATGGAAGACATAAAAGGCCGTGCTGTAAATGGGAAAAGAAACTCGATCTATTAGAGGCTTAAAATGCGAGCAACCATGAATAATTAGATTTATCAAGAATCACACAGAGGCTATAATTTTCTCAAATAAATGCACGGAATACCCTCATTTTTATGACTGCTTTTCATGGTTTGAGGTTTAAACTGCACTCTTTTAATACATTATCTTACTGCACATTCAGGAGCAGTGTAATAATATAATTAGCTCCTAAAAATATTGGCTGAAAATTATCATCAATTTCCCTTTTTATTGACGATTTTCTGGACATTTTGTGTCAAGTTTGCACCATATTTTGAGGAAAATCTGTCTATTTACTTTCTTCTTCATTAATGCATTAAACATACTTCAAACTAAACTTAAACCTAACCCACCACTATTAAAACCTTTAGGATTTGAGTACAGTTTGTATTCCAGTCCAAAAGAACCCCAAGAAGAAAACACATCAACTAATTGAAGAAAGCTTGAATTCAGGAACTTTCCATAATTAACCAAAAATATGGATCAGTAAATTAGGGTCCCTCAACACATCTGTAAACAGCTGTTCAGTAACGGTGCTTCTGTTCTCACTTCTGTCTGAATTCAGCTCTTACCTACTGTGATGAAGCATTTTGATATGTTTGTAAATCAGTTTTGAATACGGTTCTAGCCTTCATCCTTCATGTTGGTTTTTTAGAATTCCCATCCGTACTTTGGCTCGTCCCGCTAACAGCATTACACATGATGATGGTGATTAAATGTCACGATGTGCCATAAAAGTAGAGAGATTTACACACTTTGTTGCTTTACGTCACACTGTGTTACTCCAGATTCATCATCTTAAAACTGGAACATCCGCCACGTTTTCCCTGATTCGAAGCAGAAAAAGAAATAAGAGGAGAAGATTTTTCTCTTGTCAGATGGTGTCAGTCTGGCCTAGAGTTTCTCAGATTTATGTACTGTATGTGGCGACTGTTTGAGATCCACAGCCGCATCATTCATCATCCATCCTCTCTCTTTCTCTCTCTCTCTTGCAGTTCAGCTGATGTTGTCAAATATATTAAATGACAGTAAAAATTATATAAAATTCCAGTATGATGGGGAAAAATGCATTTCAGTGTTCTGTATCCTACGAATGATACAAAATAAACTTTGACATTGCACCTTTGCAACCGCCTGATTTCTCTTTTAAACTTGTCTTAGTCGCTAACGAGAGATGCATTGTCACCGTGCTGCATAGTGTTGCATAACAAATTGATTGTTGCGTGAGGTTAAAACACGTACACGTACTCTCTTTTCTACTAAAGACATGTTTAGTTTAAAGACTAAAAACATGGCAGACTGAGTGAGAGGGAGGCAGGTGGAAAGGTGAACATGCAGAGCAGGACGAGTTTAAATACCTTGTGAAAGTCATACTATGGAAAATAAACAGGAAATGATAATATGATAAAATCACACTGTAACAGTCTTCACTGGTCAAATTAGCATAACAGAATAGTTTTGACTCATTCTGGCCTACATCAGTATTACTAAGTCTGAAACTTCTCGATCTGTTCGTGCAAAAATCGAGTGAAATCTTTATTTATAATAACAAGACTGTAAACACAGATGAGCTTTTACATATGGATTAAAATTCAGGGTTGCATGCTGACGTACGAGTTTAACAGCCTACTCGGTAGCTATGAACTATGAATCACCAGGTTGTTGTTAGTAAGACTTGAGAAAGGATTTCACACGCAAACGTAGTAAGATTATTACAAAACGGTGATGCAGCCCAGTTCAGGGGAGCATGGTTTGGTCATAAACTGAGCATTTATGAGTAATGTGTGGTATGAGGTTTTGAGATAATGTAGAACAACATGTCAAATTTTGCCAAAGTATTTACAGGGATTAATGTGTGTCTGATTTGCCTTTTTTCCATCCTGCCTCAGAGGGATGCTGAAAACTAGGTAATTCATTTATTATTTATAGGCTGGACTACCAACATAGCAAAATGTGTATGGCCTGAATGTGGCCCACACAATGTGCTTACACATGGCCCACATACCGCAAAGAATGACGGCCCTTTGGTGGCCCAGATCTGGTTTGCCAGAGGTGGCCCACACATGGGCCAGCACAAGGCCAGTTGCAGACACACTGGTGGTCCTGTGCAGGCCCATATGTGGATCACCTCTGGCAAACCTGATCTGGGCCACCAAAGGGCCGTCATTCTTTGCCGGTGGGCCATGGGTAAGTTGTGTGCATCCATGGGCCGGTTGCAGACACACTGCTGGCCCAGAACAGTTTCAGCTCTGGCCCCAGATGTCAGCCTAATGAGTACCTTAATTAAGCCATGTAAAAACAACAAGTGCATAACAGTGCAAAAGTAACATGACGAAACTCTGTTCAGACAGTGAATGGACTGATTCTTATATAACATTTTTCAACTCTCCCAGATTACTCAAAGTACTCTATACAACATGCCACATTCACCCAACCAGACACTTTCTCTTAACCAAGTGCTTCCTAACTACATTCATACACATTTACACTCACAACATGCAGACTGGAGGAACCAGGGATCGAACCACTAACCTTCAGATCAATAGGTGACCTGCTCTACCAACGTGGGAAAAAAACTTGCAGCAAAGATGAGCCATTAGTTATTATAAATCTCTGCCTCTCTTCAACAGCGTGCCTTTTGTCCTGTCTCCCTCCCATCACCCCCACGGTCGCAGCAGATGACCGCCCCCTCCCTTTATATTGGAGGTTACTTCCAGTATAAAAGGAGTTTGTCCTTCTCACTGTTGCCAAGTGCTTGTGTTTCTCTGTATTATTGCAGGGTCTTAAAATATTAAGCGCACTGAGGAAACTGTTATTGTGATTTTGTGCTAATTAAATAAAATAGACTTAGTATCCAAAGGAAATGCGCCAACTGTGTTTAAAAATATTTGGTCAAAACTGCTTCCTGTTATACGACATGGAAACAGTTAAATATGTAGAGCACGCATCCATTTATCCAGGTCACAGGGGCACAGCGGCCTGTTCCAGCTGTGATGGGCCGAGAGGTGGGGTGCACCCTGGATATTCATACCTGCGGCCACTGTCAAAGGAAACCAGAGTACCCACACAGGCACAAGGAGAACATGCTGGTTTCACACGTTAAAGCCTCGGTCACTAATTTCAAATCCAGGTCCTCCGTGCTGTGAGGCGACAGTTCTAACCAGGAGAGTCCAGAGGTGTGGACTCGAGTCACATGACTTGGACTCGAGTCAGACTCGAGTCATTAATTTTATGACTTTAGACTTGACTTGAAAAAATGTTCTAAGACTTGTGACTTGACTTGGACTTTTACACCAATGACTTGGGACTTGAATTGGACTTGAACCGGTTTACTTGAAAAGACTTGATATTTTACTCCAAATATAAAATTTAACATGCATATTATATAGAGATTGAAAATGTGACGTCATTCTCGGGTAGAACCGCAAAGGATTCTGGGAACTCGTGGCAAGCGGTACTAGCGCACGCAGGCTTTCAATTAAAATCAGTCACACAGCGATAAAAAGAAACACAAAAATGTCAAGAAGCTGTTGTATTATTAACTGCAATAGCCGGTCGCATGACAGCCACGGGAAGCCGACGGGTAAAGAGATCGGTTGTTATCGGATTACGTCGTTGAAGAGAAATTGTTCGAGCCATGTTTCCGAAGTAACAAAGACGCGACTGGATTGCAGCCATTCAAAGGTCAAATATAACGTCCCAGAACACTCCAGCTCACAGGCTAGTCTGCTCCAAGCATTTACACGAAGGTCAGTGTTTTTTAGTAGTTAATACGTCATTTTCATAACATAATTAGTGATATAGGTTACAAGCAAGTCTGGCGCTGAACAGAAATTGTCGCGCTATGCTCCTTTGTTTATTGTGCATAAATAGTGAATTGTCCTGACACAATATTGCGTTTCTCCTCTGTTATTGTGGTACATTGACAAAAACATATACTTTTATTCACAGGATAAAACAGGTTGTTTGTATCACTAATTGCCCAGTACGATTACAGCATACAGTATTGTTGTCACTGCTACATTTCTGTGATGCTACCAGAAATTATTTCCACTGCTAATTAATTACCGTTGAGCTCAAAGGTCCTATTAATAAACGGTTAACGAATGTGTATTTATGACGACGATTTGTGAGACTGGTATACTTATGATACGTACGATGGTCTTTCGTTCTACACGGTGCATTTCATGGTCCCTGTACCCATCCGTCGGTAAACTGTACCTGGGCTTGTTGCAGTGACCTGAAGTTACTAAACTTCACGAGTGTGTGCACTCACTCCAAGAACCGTATGATTATAAATATGCATATAAATATGCTACGATGAGATAGCTGACTTCATCTAACTAGCAAATGTTGTACAGGCTACGTTGATGATGCAGTTTTTTTTAATGTGTATGATATTTTTGTCATGCGATTTTAAAGCTGGTCCTACAACCGCATCCAAGAATAACATGCAGCTTATCTCAGAACTGTCGGTGAAAATTATTCTTGGAGCTAGGTTTAATTGAGCTGCATTTTATAGAGGTGCAATTTCACAATTTGTGTATATTTTCTAAGTTAACTATTTTGTCATGTGTTGAGAAAAACAGATTTAAAAACTACATGGTCTAATATTTACATTTAGCATATAACTGCAACATTATTTTTTCGTTGTTTTTTTTTAAAGACTCGAAAGGACTTGAAATTCAAAGTTTCAGACTTGTGACTTGACTCGGACTTTTACACCAGTGACTTGAGACTCGACTCTGACTTGCCTGACATTACTTGAGACTTGACTTGAGACTTGAGGATAAAGACTTGAGACTTACTTGAGACTTGCAAAACAATGACTTGGTCCCACCTCTGGGAGAGTCGCTCCGAGGTCTGCTTTAGTGAAACGTAGGCGGTAATATTTCATTTGTTTATGAAAGTATTTCTCAAAACCTTCCACAGAAATGTATTCACACTTGTCCCTCTTGTGTTTATTTGTCACTGATGTTTTAGCTTAATGATTTCATTAAATTCTATGGAAAGGAATCTGCCGTTGCATCAGCCGAGCTTCTTTATAAGTTTCACCTCACTGGTGTGTTTGGTTACAACACTGTGTCAACACAAGAGTGTCAAAACTTTCCTAAGAACTTTCAGCACAGTCCATCCACTTCCTCTCTGATTTATGCCGGTGTGTTTTTGTGCGACGTGTCATGTATCTGCACATTTTTTTTAAAGTAAAACTGGACTGATTTTGCGCTGCTGCTGCTGCTGCTGCTGCTGCGAGTGTTTGTGTGTGTTTTGTCTGAGGAAGCTGTGTGGTTGGAGTGTCAAATCTAAAATACTTCCTCATCCTCTTGTGCTCGCATTAGAGCGACCTTCAGATGTCAGCAGCGTCTCACAGTCCACCTCGGCGGCAGACTGATCGCACATGTGACCGTTTTAACTCCATTTCAGGGGTTCCCGTATTATTTTATGCAAAGTGCGTATGAAGCTCAGAAGTGCTGGGAGGAGAACTTTGGTGAGTATTTACACTTTTATTTCTTTTCTCTTTTTTTGTAGACTTTTTTTTTTCTCATTCCAACTCAGGTTAAGTTAGATTTTAAAATAATATATAGAAAAGAAATGAGGTGGATTACTGCAAGCGTTACCTGACTGATTCAGATTATGACTTACTTTAAGAGGCCATGTTTTGTTTTATGCAGCAGACTCAAAAAATGTGGAAAAGTTTCATCTAGAAGTACCTTCTTGTCATTTTATCATCCTTAAAAGAAAGGATCTTAGTCAGGGCAGAGTTAAGCTGGTGGCATGCAAAGCTTTTTGTATGTCAGGCCAGATTTTCTGGTGCAAAGATGTAGAAATAAACCGCTTTCTTCCTTCATCTAGCTGCCCATTCATACCGAAAGTGGCTGCAGCATGTCGACATGTATGTCAGATCTAAATTTTGTCAGACACTTCACAAAACACATTAACATGGGCAGCGGTCCACACCTGTCTGAACACGTCATTTCTTTGTCTAAAAATGCACTGCAGCAGTTGTTTTACTGCAATATGTAGCGGTGTTTTTGTTAATCTCTCATCTAATAAAGAAAATTTGAGGTGAATGACTAAACTTTTAAGTCAGTGCACATATATGTCAACATCAGGCCTCTGAAAGCT